CGGGTCGTGGTGGGTTCGCGTTTGTGCTCGTCCCGCGGGGTCCCGGTAGCCGAACAGAGTCGTGGATTTCAGTAGTCACCGCACCCAAGTGCTGCCGTACACCTGCATTTTGCTTTGTGCGGTGCAGATTAACGCACAATTTCCAAAGAATTTACTCTCAGACTGTGAGAGATTATAAGGATATTTTCGTTTTGCAATACCAGTTCACAAGTTGCATGGGAGCAATTCAATGTAGCATGAATTTCTTATATTTAAATACAAATAGTCAATACATGGGCCAAGCCATCTTGGTGTTGCTCCGTCTATACTGAAAAGATGCAAACCGATGCCTGTGCTGCTGAGGCAGGTTTTGGAGCAGCGCAGCAGCCGGGAGTTGGATTCTGCTGTGGGAAGTGCAGGACGTGTTCTGAGAGTAGAAAACCAGGGAACGCTGCTTCAATCCAGCAGGGCAAGTAGGTGGTGCTCAGGCAGTTAGATCTGCATCCGAAGGGACAGATTACACTGTGATCCCAGAAAGGGGGAAACCTCTTCTATAGGAGCCTATAAAGGAAATTAAATTTAGGGAATAGAGTTGTCTCGGTTTCCAGTTGAATGAGATGAATCCCATTTTTGCTAACCACTGGTGGTTAGACAATAAGTGGAGCCTGTGACAGCAAACATGGTTAAGTTACCACAGACATTTTACTACTTAAGTACTGCAAAGACTGGGTCTGATCCAAGACATTCTCTTTCTAGAGTTAAAGGAATAATTCAGGGTTAGTGGGGAAAACAGGTAGATCAGCACAGAAGAAGGTCAATATGTTTCCCTGGTGCTTCATCACCTGCATTGCAAATATTCCCATGTGAAGCCTGGTAGCCCCAAAGAAGAGGCCCACTGTGGTAGAATGTCTCTGGAAATGGAAATTGCTTTAGATCTGGAATGAAAACATGAATTTGCTGGATTCATCTTTGGTAGCAAGGTTGAGTTATGACAATTTAATAGGGGGAGAGGAAAAGTAATTTCTTTGTACATGTACTATCACAGTTGAATCACTGAACCATACACTTTTGTACAAAATACCTTCATTAACTATTTGAGACTGAAGCAAAATTAAAACAGAAATGAGGTGAATAAGTTAAATAAACAGTTAAGGAGCAGAGTCTATGGACAGCACATGTACCTAAGTGTGAGTGAGAAATGGAGTTTCTGCAGGATGAGCCAATTTCCAGCTTGTCTGGAATAAGTGTATTTCTTCCTAACCAGGAATGTCTGTTCCCCCCCAGCCTGGGTCTCCCTGTGGTGACAGCTGAGCACGGACAGAAGTGGAGAGCACAAAGCTTGTGCCAGGGACAGGCAGGGAGCACACCCTTGGCTCTGTGCTCAGCTGCACAGTGCAGCCCTGTGACTGCACCTGATTTAATCATCAGTTGAATTATTTTAATCTCTGAAACACAATTGCCTTTCTATATCCAATTTCTGACAACTATAGCCTGATTATTTGAAGGGGAAAAAAATTGGTCTAGTGGAATTAGTGGATTCCTAGACTAATACCTGACAAAACTCCTGAGATTTAGCACAGCCAGTAAGAATGTTAGATTGTGAAAGTACCCCAGCCTATGTCAGGGTCCTAGGCCAAAGGACAAAGCTGCATTAAGTAGCATAATTTCTTTGGCAACTTTTATAGAATGTCTTTACCTTGACATGAGAGGGGGAGATAACGGAGTAAAGATGCTTATGTGACAGGAGGAAGCTGTGCCATGAAATTCAGACTTGCTTCCTTGGAAAATAACAACATCTTGCAGTGTTCAATGGAAGCTCAATCAAACAAGGGTTTAGGTCTGCCTCACAAGATACAGTACTAGGACTAAAGCATAGTTTTCAGCTTATTTCTTGCTAGGTGGAATAAAACCAGCTTTTTGAACTTGCTCTTACTTTGGGTTATCTGTTGCTACAGGCAATGCATTCACAGTTAGATCCATTCATTTGCCACGCTGCTTAGAGAGGGCTGAACCTTCTCCATACTTTTTATAATTTAATGTTAAATGACTTGATTAAAGCATGTCAACAAAACCAGCCATTTCTGTCTTCTCCCATAAAAAAGGAACTTTCTTTTTTTGCATCGCATCAGGATTTTTCCTAAAATGCAGTTTTCTTACTGAAAGGAATGGCTTATAATTTACAACAACTTGTTAAATATATTTAAAAAATACATACAGAGAGAAATGCAACATATTTAATTTAGAATCCTTTGTTCTGCGAAGGTTAGCTTTTCTTAAATAGACATAGTCCATCAGGCCAAGCACTCACAGACTGGTATTTGTTTTGGTTGTGCTGCATATTTGCTCATTCAAACATTCTTTTCTTTCTGTTTTTCATTTTACATTTACAACAGCAAAAGGCCCTGAAGAATTCTAATTTCTTTCTGTGGCTAGCAATTTCAAGATAATTTTCTGTGCCATGTACCAGGCTATGCCAATATATATTGCCACCATTTAGTGATGACTTTAATAATCTAATTCATGAGTTTACAATGCTGATCACAATTGATCCTGAATATATTAAATAGTTTCATAAGAAATAATCAGTGATTTCTACCAGATAACTTTATGTTCATGTTAATATATAGTGGATAAACAAAAGAAGTTACTAGACATATCACTAAGAAGACCGGGAAGAGTCCATAAAAGCAAAATCAGTAATTAAATATGAAGCCACTTCATACTCCTAATTTAAACTAATTAATCTTTTTCAGTGACACAATTACATGCTTTCTTCTCACAAGTTGACAATACTCTGTGAAGTCTGAAACGAAATAAATTATTCTTTGCTTGTTTGCTACCTGGGCAAAGGTCAATAATACCTCAGGGCAAACAGTCTATAGCCAATTTCCTAAAGTAATTCAAATTGAAAGGAAAAATCTTTCTAATAGCAAAAAAGGCGCAAATAGCACATTAAAGAAGGAATTTGTGATGCATTGTATATACATAAAAATTCTACACGTGTATGCATACAGTAGCACTGCCCCTGAAGCTTTCTTGTCACCATCAATTTAACTCATGGTTACCTTGGTGTGTGCAGTAATCACTATGTGAGTTTGTCCCTTGGATACCAAGGCTTTCCAAGCAGTTGCCTGAACTTCTGCTTCCTTAGTCCTAAATGTTGAATAATTTAGCTCTGTTCATCTGTCCTCAGCCCATAGGAACCAGAGGTGTAAGTGCCCCCCAGAAGTGGATTTCATAGTTGATGTCTTCTGTCACCCATTAATTCAGAGCCAGCCTTCATGTAAATAGTTAACAAAAGCAATTGGAGAAATTTCTCACTCTACACTTGGAATTTGAATGTGTTTCCTTTGCTGTCTGGTTCCTGTGGATCGATTTGAACAATGTGCCTGTGTTCAGTGGGTTTCAGAAAGAACGATTCCCGCTTTCCTGCCGCCGTTTCCAGCAGCCTGGCAATGCTGGCTGTGCTTTAGTTGGACATAGTATGGATGGGTCAGAGTAGGAGCAATTCATTCACAGCACAAGATAAAGGAACTCTTGTAGGGCAGATCTCTGCGTGTTTGAAGAGCAGGCACCGAGCTACAGAGCCACTGCTGCTTTTAAACTGCAGTGATGCCACCAAACACCGTCCTGTTGAGAGTGAAGTAACCATCCCAAACTCTGAACCGCTCCCTGGGCTGGGGGAAGGAGCCAGAACTGTGAGGAGAAACACAGGAGCTGTCACAAAGAGGAGTTCAAAGGTGTGCTCAGCTGCTTGAATGCACAAAGAATCTTTTTTGGGAATGTCTGAGTATTGCCAATAAAACAGCACTTACTTGCTTTAGACTGGGATTGCTTCATGTATCTATTAAAAGTAAACAAAATAATCCCCTAAAAGACAGATAATTCACTTTTGATGAGACTAATCATGGAACATTTCAAATGAGAAGGAAAATCTTGCTGAAACTTAAGAGAAAACAGGAACTAAGGAGATTAAAGACTAGTTTGCAAACTCCATACTTACACTTGTTGCCATGTGAACAATCTTTTGATATTTTGTAGTACATTATAGAAAAAAGGAAACTGATACAAGGTAAAATTTTTGTTTAACTATTGACATTTTTGCTAGACAAATTAGAATGTGTGAAAGAAATTATAAAATAATTTTAAAATTAACATAAGATTTGATGCCTTTGGTATATCTAGTAGAAAGGTGCATGTTGAGTAGCATGATACACTTTATCCAAAGCTGAATTTCAGGAAGGTGGATATATATGTGTTATCAGAGGAGCCATTTACAGCACAGAGATTACTGGTAAATATAACAGTGTGAAAGGTATTGGACAACAGATGTATAAAAATTATTATTCAGAGTCATTTCCATTATCATAGTCCCCGGATTCATATTCTTCGTCATCTTCTTCATCAGAATTGTCATAATAGTCCTCATATTCAATGCTGTAGCTTGCACTTCTACTGCCAGCAGTAAATGCAAATGGAGGAGATGGGTCTGCAAAGCATAATTGAATCCAGATTAAAATAGTTGAAGATAGGAACAAAGTTGAAAGTACAGGTGTGGATTCATATGGCAAGTTCAGTGTTTCTGAATCCTTGTTATCTATGAAAAGGAGAGGGGTTTTATCTGATGACTTGACCTCATACCACTGAAGCTCATGATACATGAGCAAATTTCTGTATAGAGTCATGGAATCGCAGAATAATTTGGGTTGGAAGGGACACTGAAGCTCATCTCATTCACCCCCTGCCATGGGCAGGGACACCTTCCACCAGCCCAGGTTGCTCCAAGCCCCGTCCAACCTGGCCTTGGACACTTCCAGGGATGGGGCAGCCACAGCTTCTCTGGGAAACCTGTGCCAGGGCCTCCCCACCCTCACAGCCAAAAATTTCTTCCTAAAATCTAATCTAAATCTCTCATATTTTAGTTTAAAACTGTTCTACCTTGCCCAACCACTGTCTGTCCTGCCTGTATAAAAAGTCCCTCTCCCTCCTTTTTATAAGCCCCCTTTAGGCACTGGAAGGGGCTCTGGGGTCTCCCCAGAGCCGTCTCTTCTCCAGGCTTAACACCATCATCTTGCTCAACCTGTCTTCATAGCAGAGGTGCTCCAACACTTGGAGCATTTCCGTGGCGTCCTCTGGACCCACGCTAACAGGTCCACATCTTCCCTGTGCTGAGGACATATTGAAAAAGCATTTAATTCCCAATACTAGTAAACTATGAGGTCAGTCCTCTGCAGATCCTCTGCACCTGCAAATATTACCAGAGGCAGTAAAGCTTTGAAAGCCACTTGCAGAAACTAGACTAGTGACAAACTCCTCTAGATCAGGAGGCAAATATAAGACAATGTATCTTTATTCTAAATTTGCCAGGAAAGCCAGTTCCTTGGAGGAAGAAGGATGTTATTCTGAAAGTCTGGGCCCAATACAAAACAACAGCAGAGCTATTTCTTACATCTTTCTAATCACTCTCATTAAGGAACAAAAACTGTTTCCGTCCTAATTTTTTGAAAAACAAACAGCTAAGCAGACCTGCCATGGTTCAAAGACTCCCTCAGCTACAACAGCTGTTGTTCTGGGTCCTACTAATATCAAAGGACTTCTGTAGTATAAGGATAGTGGAATAATATGTGTCTCAGCTGTATGGCTCTAATCCACAACTTTCTGTTTTCTGGGAGCTGGTATAATTTGCAGCAAAATATTACAATATCAACCCACTAGGGGATAAAGTAAAAGAAAAGCACACAGAAAAGTTAAAATATGGGCACTTTTGGGTAATTTCTCCTATCCTTCGTCTCCATTCTGACAAACCCATCCTTTGCAGCCTGTTTGTATGCATTTTTATATTCTTTACATCCAAATAAAAAAAATTACCATCAACGACTTTCAGTCTTGCAGAAGCATATGTTGCACCATACTTATTTCTGGTGTGGCAGATGTAAATGCCTTCATCTGACTTTTTGAGTCCTTGAATCTGCAGCCAACCTGTCACACCATACTTCTGAGGCCCACCTCTTGCCTTTGAGAAGGAAAGAAATGTTTGAAATTAAGTAGCTAGGAGACACCATGATATTTCTCAAAATGATTGTGAATGGATTAAATATCATTACAACCTTTGCTTTTTTTTTAGTGCCATTGTGCTTTGGTTCTGTTTGTTCCTGCTCTATGTTTTACCCTCTTACTGCTCTGCGCCTCTGGGTTCATGTGCTCCCATCTCTGCTCTTTCAGCTTCATTGCCCTTCACAGTTCTCTCATTCCTGTTCCTTCTCGTGCTGCTGATTCCCAACACTCCTCCTGTCTCTTGTCCCAGCACCACTTGCTGTTCCTTCAAAGCATTGCCCCCTGTTCTCAAGCTCAGCAATTTCTTCAGGATGAGAGCAGGGAGTGGATCTGGGTGAGTTGTTCAGGGCCAAGGGGCCTGCCCAAGCTGCCGCTCAGCAGCCAGGTTTTAGTGGATTGGCATGACATTCTAGGAGCTTTCACACTTCATGACAATCAGTTTCAACTGGCTTGGACTAGAGCCTCCTAAAGGGATGAGCTTTCTTTGCCAAACAAATAATGCAAACCCATTCAGAGATGTTAACAGAGGTGCTCTCATGCTGAATGTATTAATGAGATAGGTAAACAGGGGTCAGTTTAGCCTCTGAGGTGACCAACATTTGGATGTGGCTCCTTGCACCATTGTCTCTCAGCAACTTTAAATCCACTAATCCCACCTGTGTTCATTCTGCCTCTGGAAGAATTTCTAAATAACTTCCACTTCTGGTACTTTGGTATTTTTGGTACTTTAATTAGCTTTTTCTATGTTTTTCCTCTCTACCTTTTTTTCAGGTTGTGTCCCGTGTCCCATGTCCATTGGATCTGACTGCTTTTGGGCTGTGTATCCAAAAATTTGCCATGCATTTCACTGCATAGTCTCTGCTCATGTTTTTTGACCATTGGGGAACACATTAGTACAGGCTTCAGCCTCCCTGCAGGCTGCCTGTACAGCTGGCATCGTTTGCCAGCCCAGAATGTTATTTCCATTTAAAAGTGTTAACATTTAGTTTCAGCTAAAACTTGCAGCCTATTTCTAGGCTTGCTTGAAGCCTATACTAATGCCATTCTACTCATTCCCCTCAGATTAAAACACCAAGGCCACCATAAAACGAACAAGTTTCTTTGATTTCCTTATGAATGCCTCAGGGACAGAACCCAAATGACAGTTCTCAGAAACAGCATCTTGCAAAGGAGAACTTTAGATACCTGTCAGAACCGGGTTTCCTGCCTCAAGAGTAGAAAAGGTGCTGCAAACAGCCATCCTTCCCAGAATGCTCCTTCTTTCAGGCAGTAGCCTAAATGGTTCCATTTATATGTTTGCTCAGTTTTTTTCAGAATCAGACCTACATGAAGAGACTCTTCCATCGTTTCTTTCCCTGAAGCAGGCCAGATGGTACCCTGGCTGTTGTTCCTTCTGCTGGGACTGCCAAAGCACTGACTGAAATCATCATTTTTTGTATAGTCAGAGGGCCCCTATTGGGAATCTATTTATTGCAACAGTATTGTGTTTTGTAGGAGGAATGCACAGATTAACCACCCCGCTCCTCTTGCCAAACTGAATGCCATGGAAAACTCAAGTTTTACCTGAACTGAGACGTGGGTGTCATCTCCTGGCAGAAACATTTTATTCCCCTTCTTTTTCCATTCAAGGTGTGGCATAGGATAGGCTGACACCTCACAGCCAAAAATGACATCATTGCCTGTGTAATTCTGGGTGTCCTGAGGTGGCATAGAAATAACAGGAGCTGCAAAGAACCGACAGCGGTGCTTTAGAAGACAGTGCACCAAAGACCACAAACACAAAAGCATGTAATGTTAATTCCTGATGCATGTGATACAATCAGTTTACCTTTGCCTCTCACACATTGTGAAGAGCCATGTGATTCCAAGCATTTTTTAAAGCTCAGAACACCTTGTGCCTGTGCTTTTTAAAAATGCTCATTCAAAGGACCCATCTGTCCTTCCCCTTGCACATGTTCATGAAACTTGAGCTGAAATTAAGAGTTTAATTTTGCCCATGAACTCTCATCATGGACTGGACTCAAGGCCCACCAGCAGAGCCACCAGTACTCAAATGGGCTTCAGAGGAAAGTACAAGAAATTCTGTAGCAGACAGTCACAGAGTGACTTGATTGTATGATTGTTCTTCTGAATATCTGTTACATTTTGGTTAGCTAAAGGCCAAAATACAGCTATTGTGAACTTGTCAAATTTTGGTCTTGCCCTGAATTTTGCTAAAACATTGTCCCACACCCATGGAACCCATTGCCATAAGTTACAGAACAACAGCATTAATGCATTCCACATTTGTCCTCAATTGCTATTGATTTCATCCAATAGTCTTGTTATGAAACAACGAATGAAAAGGATTGAATCGAATTAATTCTGTAAGGGTCTATGTTATATTTATTATAACTGTTACATTTCCATTTACTTGTTTCCTACAGTTCTCTTACCCTCATCCCTCTCCACTGTTTATTGGTTGCCTCTGAATTGTGCTTTCCCTTTTCCCGAAGCAAAAGCTGCCGGTAACCACGAGAGGGAGCCAGCCCGGGGGCTTGAAGACATTGAAAAAATAAACCATCCCTTGATGCCTTCATACCTGATTTCAGTACATATTCCTCTATGACCATGTATGAACTTACAAAGTGTTAACAGGAGATAATGATATTTAGCTGCAAAGAGCAAAATAACATATTTACTGTCATCGCGGATTTCCTGTTTTGGAGATCTCTGTTTTCTTTCCCCCGATCTATTTGTTGTCAACAAAAAATGTTTTTCCTTCTAAAATCTGTTTTCCATTTCCAGATCAGTGATCAAAAAGGAACTCATTTTCTGGGCCTTGTATTTAATTAGCAATTTTATTTTTGTACAGATCCCAGATGTCTGGAAATAGGAACTTGAGTAAATGATGAATATATTACTAATATATTATTATATAATTATACGTTATTATTTTATATTACTAATATATTTTATTAATAAGTAAAAACCTGCAATATTTGAATCAGTACAGAGGTGCAGCATTTATGCTTCAGCATTTGAAATTTTAACAGCCTGTTCCATGTTTTCAAGCAATATTTCCTAACACATTTGTCAGTTTTTCAGGATTTGTGTCTGTGCAGAAAATATGAAATGCATACTGACTAAAATTAACTGCAAACAAATTATACAGCAAACTATCAATTTCCCCATTTATAAATGCTTCAATAAACAATCCTGCTGCTCTTCAAAAGTAAGGTTTTTCAAATTAGGATACTTAAACCCTTAAATGCTTGTTCTTTCATGAGAACTGTACATTCAGAATCTGTCTATTATTTAAAAGATCTTGTATTCAAATCAACATTAACTGAATATCGGGATGAGAATTTTTTTCCCTTTAAATCTTAAAACTCAGTGCAGCCACACTCCTTTTAGTGATACATCCAGTATAATGACATCTAGTTAAGCTTAAAATGTACCAAAAATGCCAAATGTCTACATTGACTCACAGTAGTTCTTTGAATTATTCCCGCACAGAGGCAGTGTAAAAACTTTTTAGAGAGGCAGATGTAGCCTGGTGAGTATTTTTGTTGTGGTGCTGACTCGGGTGCCCTGTGCATCCCCTGACAACACTGACATGGCCAAGGACTGAGTCCCAGCTGTGGCTCAGCCCAGTGAGGGCACCCCAGTGCTGTCCAGCACTGTCCCCCATACAGTTGGAAGAATTCCACCCTGGAAATACCCCTCCTGCCATTAACTGTGAGGAGGATACAGCTTGGGAATGCCTGGGTATGGTCTGAGTCCCAGCACTTGAGTACAGGGCTGACCAGGACTGGCATCATGTGAGATCAAACTCACAGCAAGTAGTAGTTTTGATCTAACCCAGCTGCTTTTCCTGAATCTGAACACTTGACAAATACTTGCATTACCTACTCAAACTTGAAGTGCCTTCAGAAATAAAATACTCCATGTCTCACAACACCATTTTGCTGTATTTGCAGAAGAAAATTGAAGTCATGAAGTACCATTTTAACAGAAATTTATAAACTTCATTTTTGAGTGTTTCAGATTTTGTGTTCAAACAAATTCTCCCATGCATATCTGTGTGTACTTTTTTTGTATAACTGATTAGAAACAGAGCTTTCCTGTTATGATAACCTGTCACTTTGATGCCTGGAGTAGATAAATTTTTGTTGATAGCCATAGAAAGTATTCTGATGTCTCAGCGTCCAGAGCTGAATGGGTGAGAGCTGCTTCTTTCCTTTTACAGTCCCCGTCAGTCATGAATGATCCCCATGTGTTACAGAAGACATAAACAAGAAGTCAGGAAAAGCCAAAATACTGCTTCTGCTTCATCTTTCGCAGTCAACCCAATAGCACTCCTGACTAATAAATTACATAATTCACAGGATGTTTTTTCCTCATATTGTATATTATTACTTTTTTCTAATCTATGTCTGATTTGATGAAAATGGTAGAAAATTTTGTGGCTTATTTATTTGGTTTTACTTCAAAATTTACGTTTAAAATGAATCATGTGACACAGCTAAATATAAAGAGAATCACTGCTAGACTGTTCTGTTAGTTCATTAAATTATCAGCAAGAGAGGTTTGAATGTGAATGGGGATGGTTTAAGCATGGAGAATTTGTACATAATTAATATACTTAGTAACTTTGGTAAAATATTATCAAAATAGGATCAAGACTAGCTTTCAGGAAGGGCTATTTCAGTATTTCTTTAGTGATCTTGGCCTTTTTCTTGTGATAGAGGAAAGATGAAAGGCTGTACTCTTCTGATGAAAGGAGTTTATTGTTATTTATTTATTCATTGGTTGCTGTATACAATTAATCTATTTGGCATCAATAGAAAACAGCTTTGGAGGAGAAATAACAAAGTACTTTGACTTCAGTGAAAGTTTTATTTATAGCTTGGTACCAAAAACCCACAAGTGCTCAGTGTTTGTTTCACATGCAAATTGGTGTCGGTAAAGCCGGTGCTACAGAGAGCTCGCTGCTCTCAGAGCCAGGCTCCCTGTTGCCTTTTGTCCTCAGCTGCAGCCCTGAGAAAGCGCGGTGCCCTTTCACATGGCCCCGGGCACACCGCGGGCCGGCACTGCGGCTCTGACGGGCCGAGGCAGCACCTCCGGGCCCTGCTGCTTTGGGCCCTGCTGCTCTGGGCCCTGCTGCTTTGGGCCCTGCTGCTCTGGGCCCTGTGGGACGGCCCAGGCTCCGTCCGGACTCCAAAGCACAGCCCGTGAGCTGCAGCTGGGGGAGGTGGGGGACACGGGCACTGGTGTCCCCCCGCCAGTCCAGCCCCCTGCCCAGGCTCTGCTGCAGCCGGCACAGACACCAGCTGGGCACTGTCCTCCCCAGCAGCCGAGGGGATGGGCCCTGCTTTTCTTAACTCAACTCTGCACGGCACTGACATGGCTATGAACATTCCCCAGGCTTTGGTGCATTTCAGTAAGCTGAGCAGTCTTAGGATATTTCTCTCCATTCCTGGAGAGAGGGTCCAGCCCTTCTGGGGACCCAAGGAAGCAGTAGGAAAACACTGGGGGTGATTCCTGCATGCAGGGCAGCTAAGCTCATTCCTCCTGCTTGAGGAGCAGCCCTGTAATGTGCCTTAGGGGTGACTGGAGGCCTGGTGGGTAACACCAGCAATTAAAAGTGGTAATACTTCTAAATTAAAGTTTCTTGTATGTGGCCAGTTCTGTTAAATTAATTAACGGTACCATTGCTTTAAGCCTGTGTGCCTGAGCAGCTGCCTCTGCTGCAAAGACACCAGCACTTGCTAACAGAGTGGCACTTCCAACCGAAATCTTTCTGGAGGGGTTACGCCACAAGAAACAGTGCTATTTAATCCCAAACAAGAATGCATACCTGAGGCTGACAGGCTTTCAGTTGTACTGCAGGCTGGTGAGCATGTCTTTACTGATAAGCCTCATTTCCCAGCTTAATACCCTGATGGCAAATAAAGGATGCTTTAATGGATCTTTCTCTTGCAACCAGAGAAAGAGGAAAGAAGCCTGGTATTAACTGTTCATCACTTTTCCTTTTAAGTGTTCAATATCCAGTGTTCATTCAATATAAAACACAGAATGCAGTCTAAGACTGCTAGAGAGGAGTGGGTAAAATGTACCTGAGTTACTCCCATATGTGGTCCTTTGTCAGAGTTACAATTTCAGATTCCCATAACTGTGACCCATTTATGACCCGCAGACCTCTTCTACTTACTTCATTTGAGAAAATATTTCATTTACTTAAAAAAACCCCAGTAATTTCTCAGTCAGAAAATAAAAACCTCTTCACATTTTCATTTTATATTCATGTGTCTTAGGAGAAAGGTGCTCAGGAGTAATGACTTGTAATAATATGAAGAATGGGAACAGCACATGAACAGGAGTCAGCATTCCCCTGAAAACCCACCTAAGAATCCTTGCACTAACAATCATCACAGACAACTGTTCATGCGCTGTGTCTTTAGAGAAATTGTTTCAGCTTGATTCTGTTCTAATATTTGAATTTCTGTTTCATGGGTTAGCTAGATTTTATGATGATTCTCAAATTGGATTATTTTGGATTTTTTTTTTTGGTCAAAAGAACAGAGCTGTTAATTAAACCCTATCTTCTATTGCCCCTGCTTCACTGCTTACCATATATACTCACTGGTGAATACACACATGCATACATATATATACACATATACATACATGTATGTGTGTGTATGTATATTTATGAATGAGATCTGCCTTACTATCACCACTTTAAAATTAGGTTAGTCCTCTTATAATAATAATTATTTGCCTGTTTCTCCCAGTCTATTCTATCTGTTTACTGATTCCCAACTACACAGACAACTTTTGTAGAAAAAAATCATACTTTGATTATAATAATCATACTCTGATTATACAAAGAAGAGCCAGTCTGTAGATTGATGGCTTATTAGTCACCATGTGATTTAATCGACTAGTCTAATCTAGAGGCTTATAACATACAAGATTAAGTACCAGCTGCTAAACCACATGTTTAACACAAAGTAGTATTATAACAGAATAATAATAATAATTGTAAAAAAATGCAGTATTAGTTTAATAAAGCTAGATTAGAGCAGCTAGTAAGACATCTGAAAATAAGAATCAGCTCTTTTTTCAGTTTGGAAGTGCCTCTGTACACATTACCTGATTCACATGGCCCTTTATGTTTCATGCTGATATTTCTTTTTGCAGCATAAGCCTTGTTGAATTGACAGATGTTCTCGTAGGTTTTCCCTTCGGGTCCACAGATGCTCTCTTGAGACTTGCACACACACTGGGGTTCGGGGACTTCCCCAAACCTTGCTTCATCAGCATCCAGCCTGCACTCGAGGTCATCCCCACACTGCCCATAAAAATGATTGCCCTGGTCCAAGTCGCAGATCTGACCTTCCACATTCCCACATTCCAGACAGCAGCCACAACGATCCAACACAGTCCCGGCTGGACAATCTTTAGGCTCAGAGCAAAGCGTCAAATCGCATTTTCCACAACTATCTCCTTCCCTTAGCAGCCTCCACCAACCTCGGTGGTACAAGGCAGGGAAACTCTGAGAAACCTGTACCAGTGCTACCAGCACTGCTGTAACCATCCAGTGCTTCATCTTGAGAGTGTAACAAACAAGCAGAAAAGGTCCTTGGAGTAAAGCCAAGGGGAGGAAAAAAAAAGAAAAGATAAAGAAGAGCAAGCTAGTGAGAGAAAAACATCACAATCCTGGCTTTGTTTTAGAATATAAACTCTACTGCAAACGCAGGCTTTAAGAAAAAATTAGCATCAAATTCCTAGTCTGGAACTGATAATAAAAATGCATAAACCCCCACCAGCTTTTCCCTAATGCAGTTTGGAATGTGAGTATTGCTTGCAGAGAGACCAAACTGCCCCCTCTGACAGCTGAGTTGAAGCTCTCTGAAAAGCTGTTTGCTCAGTGGCTCCTTGAGCCAAATTTGCAAAGCAGTGCTCTACTGAAACAACATTTTACTGCAGCTATTGTAGAAAGAGGAACAGGGTAAATAAGTGTAAAATGAAAAAATTGATTTCTATGAGTGCCCCTGCCCTCCATCAGGTGAAAAAGATGGTCACAAAAAGATAAACATGGGTACAAAGTAGCACCCAAAATCCCAGTGCCCTAGGGCTGAACCAGTGCTCCAGAGAATTGGACTTGGTTTAACACCAAATGTCATCTATCAATGATCACAGCTAAGAGGTTCTGAATTTACAGTTTACTTACAGGCTCTATACAAGCAAGAGACAATCCAAAACAGCTAGAATTGACTTTAAACTCTTGAGTTTAAGATGAAAGATACCTATAACCATTAAAAAACCCATTGTTCTCTCTCCATATATCTTCTTTTTAGTGTTTATAGATGTCCGTGCTTTGCAGCACAAAATAATGTGTTTGTCTCTAAGAACAATATGCAAAAGGTTTAGAACACAGACAAACATGGGCAATCTGCTCCAGCATCTTCAAAAGAAGATTCTGCTGAACTTTTAGGTGCTGCACTCATCTTTTCATAGCTCTTCTCTGCCTTAGTTTCTTAAGATATAGTTGCATTGTGGGTTATGAAGGAAGATGAAAGAGGTAACTGATTTCTCTCCCTGCTTTTTCTGTATATATATGTCTGCCAGTTCAGGGAGATGGCTTTGCAGGGTCATTGTTCACCAGCTGATGAGATTTGGTGTCTGTAGCCCACAGGCTGCTGTTACCATTGTTCAAACCACGTGCAGCTCACCAGGGATGCATCTTGTTGTCTGTGGGAGGTAGAAATGAAGCATCATAGAGTTACAGACTCTACAAGCATAGCTCAATTCCATGGGTCAAGGATCACCACTGCCTACAAATGAAGTGTCTCTGTGGTTAGATTAAAAAACCTCTGCGTGCATCACAGTTTAAAAATATAAAATTATGACACTGTTATCAAGGTGGAATAAAAGAGAAGTCATGCTTGTGCCTACTTGTCCTGAAATCATCCACAAGCAGCTTTTCTTCTTCTTTTATTATTCATGGTGCAGAGCTGCTACATAAGCTCAGTGGAGGATTCATTTTGTTGTACCAGCCTTGCATCCTCTGGGCATATCCACAAAAGCAAATCTTTTGAGATCATTTACTTTTTATCCCAGAACATTTCCATGGCTTTTCCCAAGTTCAGCTTCATACCATCTGCACCTCTTGCTTTGAGTGAAGTAGCAGGCTGCTTCGTAATCACTTCCTTCTCCCAAACAACAACAATTTCCCTCAGCCTACATTGGTGGAACACTTCTCAAAGCCAGCCTGGAGAGATCTGCAGGGCAGTCTGATCACTGGGCTAATTCATATTCTGCAGTGCAAGTTTTTGCTTTGAACTTTGAATCAGATTGTAAAGGAGTAAATTGTGTGTGTAATTGATGCTTTTAACATTGAGAGTCAGAAAAAAAATAGTAACCACTAAATTTAATGGGAAATTGATTTTTTGTCCCACCTCCTTATTCTGTTTAATGTGTTTTATTTCACACTTCTTCATTGAGTTCTAATTGGATATTTAGTTTTGCATTATAAGGTCTACTCATCACTGTCTGTTTCATTATCTGTATCTACAGCTGTAGGAGATGAGTATCTATAGGACAAGGGTTTGCTAAGGCTCATATAAAGTAAAAGAATGCTTACAGGGGTGAAACCATATATTCAAAGTGGAGCCAAAGCAGGAAGGGCCGCAGGCCAGCCCTGCACTTGGTAAGGCTGAGCTTTGCCTGGGGTCTTCCAGGAAACCTGTGATCTGAGGGCTAAAAAACAGTGTATTGCAAGGAAGAACCTCATGTGAGCTGGCACAGAGGAAACCCAGCACAGATATCCTAGAAAGCATTTTTGGCATTTACCTGAGTCATGTAATCTGAATTGTTGGCATTAAGAACTGGGAATGCCTGTCGTCTGGTTTAAACAGCTGCCACTTGGTGAGGGATCTGCACCTGAATATTATTTGGCCACTGATTCCTGAGCTCACCTGGAACAACTTGGGGCAAGGGAGGTTAAAGCATTGTGGTATGACATGGAGAAATGGCCTGAGTGTCTTTCATTAGCAAGGCAGGGGTGACGAGCTGAGGAGAACTCTCCACGCTGGATGAATGTGTGGCAGAGTCAGAGCAAGAAGTATTAAGGGGGAGGAAGGAGAGAGATCAGGATGCATAGCTGGGTTTGAAGTTGCACATCTAAAGGCATAGTCCCATCTGCTTCAGTAATAAAATATGCATTATTTCAATATGTCTCTAATCCCTGAAGCTTGCTTTGGTGGAAAAAAGTGTTGATTTTCAGCACAAACCTTGAATTATCTTAACCCTAAATAATCTCCCATAAAAAACCACAAGCAGCAGTGGATTAATGTCACTGGTGGATGTGCAAGACAGGCACCAGTGTTTCCTGTACCCTCAGGCTGTGTTGTCCATCAGGACATGGACAATGTCTTGCAGAATTCCTGTAAGTGATTTGTTAAGGAAATTGTATTCCTATTCATTTCCTGCCTTCTTCTTGGGTCTCAGTGTTATGCTAAGCTCCTGACTTGTATTGCATTATTTTGCTTTGCATGGTTACAGGTAAGGTACGTGGCTGATGCAATTTGAAATCCTGTTGCTGGTCATTCCTGAGGTACTGCTCCTTTAGAAAAAATATGGTTCAGCTCTTCATTGTGTTTTTATTAGTGTCCATTTGAGTCTTAATTAAGTTTTCTGAATGTGGCTTTTGCGAGACTTGCAGATCTGATTTTACACAGACATGCACAGGAGTCCTGTGATGAATAACAGCAAAACACAAAAACCTTCCAAGTGTTCCTTTTACCTTTTCTAGTTCTTCTCCTTGAACAGCTGAAATCAAGTTTGGAAACTAGAGTGCTCTGTCTCTTAGGTTGTACTACCTGTACTTGAGGTACCTTTAGAGAGAGGAAATCTTGGCTGACTCAATGTGTTTCCATCCAAGGAATCTTATACTTGTATTATGTGCCCAAAAGAAACGTTAAAGAATGTTTGCTGTTGTACTGGGTCAGAGCAGGTCACTGGCTGTGCCCAATGGGTATGTGCATTACTGGCACTGCACTGCTCTCCTGGGATAAGTTTTCCCCCCACAGTATCCAGAATTGAGCTTCAGTGGAGGTGTTTAGCTTGAAGTGGCAACTGGGGGTGAGTAATGCCAGATGAAGTGAGAAAGGTGAGTTGCCATCTGCAGGTTCCTACCAGAAGTGCTGACTGGCAGTGATGCAGCTCAGGCAGTCCTGGGGTCTCCAAACAATGCCTTTTCTGGGGCCAGTCCTGTTTGCTGACATGTTGCTTTCATGAATCTCATCATTAGGGCTGTAAGCACATGAACTATAAGTTAATTCTGCTGTAACATGATTATTAAATCCATTAATCAAAGGCAGGAGATCCGTAATTAACTTATTCTCCAGCATCAAGTAAATGATTCTGCTGTGAGCTTTAAGAAAGCAATTGTTCGCTAATACGCAACATACAGTGGGGCTATTAGACTATAAGGCTCTGTAATTGTATAATTAAATTATAAATTTTGCATATTTTAATAATGCTTTAATTATTTTCTGTGTAAAGTTAAAATGGAGGTTCATTTTTTTTGCATTTTTTAAGGCCTTACATATAATTTATAAAAAAAAAAAAAGAAAAAAAAAGAAAAAAATCAAAATTAATGTCTGTCCTCTGCCTGTAAGCTGACTCTTTCCATTAAAGGCTTTGACCAGGCTTTTGGTGGCTCGCCTGTCTCCACCAGTGGCTGGCTGCAGATTTCTCCTGTTACACATTTCAGCAGCATTGTTGTTGGTCACTGTAGGCATTCAAATTTTAACCTGCAAAGACCAAAGAAGTGCCTCGTAGCGTGCTATACCAAATGCTTGGGTTTGCTTTAATACAGGTTTATGGACTCCTTTTCACACAAGCTAGTATTTCTTTCCAAGGGGCCAGAGAGTTCAATGATTCCTTTCAAGACTGAAGTCATTCTTTTGCGAGGTGGGAGCTGTAGTGAGGAGACTTGCACAAAAGGTATCAGGAGGACATTTCACCCGTAGGCCATTCCACATTTCCAGCCTGGCAAATCTTACTTGCTAATCTTAAACCTTTCTCTTTACACTTTAATCACAAGGGCAGTATGGAAGCAATAGCCACCACTGTTCCCCTTCCTGTTGAGGGAGAGGGACATGAAGGTTTGTTTATTCTGCCTTTATTTTGGGGATGCTTTTCTATTAGCTCTCTGTTTTGCACAGAACAGAGTGTTTTCAGGTGTCATATTCTACTGCAGCAGACACTGCAGTTTAATGCAGAGTGAAACTATTTGTGTGTCAAAGGCAGTTGCTGTCTACATCAACAGTGCCACGGGAGTGCTTTCAGGTACAGCAGGGCTTCAAAGACAGTGGAGCTTGGGGAAAACATGTCAAACCTTGACACACAAAATCAGACAATAAAAGAGCAGCACAAGAAAGTGTGTCTTTCACATGCTGACAGCCACAAGCAGCAAGACAGAAATGGGGCAGTGGGCTGGGGGGCCTGCACACAATGAGCAGGAAAGGGTGGGAGTTAACAGGTAAGGCCCTGGGATCCCCAGCCTGTCCCAGGGTTCTGGGTGGCACCCACTTACCTCTGTCACCAAGGCATGGCTGGTGTGGGTGTTAAAGTGTCTAGCAATGTCCAGGTGTGCCCCTTGCTATTCTCAGCCCCTCTTGGGTGCAACATTCAGCAGGTTGTCTGAAAACTGGCCTGGTCCCTATCACAGACCTGCAATAGATGTGCTCTAAGCATTTGGAGAGGGGCTGGAAGAAAACAAAACAAAAAACCTCAAAGCCACGTGGTTCTGACTTTGACAATGTTTCAAGGTGCTTTTACCTGACAGACTGAAAAGCAACGTTAGCTCTGGCTGCTGAGACCCAGGTGTGTGTTTGTACCTGTCCATCTGTTTCCCAGCAGATGCACAGAGACGGG